GATAAAACAAAATGATTTAGGGAGATGTCGAGGAAAGCGGTGAAACGGTTCCCAAGAAGCGGCGGCTGCAAGTTGGATCCGGTTTCGACCAGTTCAGCCATAAGTTTGGACTGCGGGTAAGCTCTGTTTTGGTTGAAGGCTCACACTTCCATTGAAATATCTTATCTGTGCCACTGTTCCGTCTTTTTTTCCACACATCATTTTTTGTTCTCTTTCTTATAGAACTTGTCAGAAAATTGTCAGTATTCATTTTTAGAGGCCGTCATTATCCCAGGCACAATTTTTTGAAAGCTCGGTATAAAAAAGTGCTTGAAATCTGAATGGTTACACAATACTGTAGATGCGATTGACGGATAAGCATTTGGTGAGAGGGGGGGGGGCATGCGCATAGTGGACAAGTGGCTTGTGGGAAGTGTGATAGACTTTGACGTGGTCATGGCGTAAATATGTGCGGTAGTTAAGTGGTTTGAAACCAATTCGTCACCCAAAATTGTTAGCTTTTTTTGATACGCGTAGATATGCAGTAGATGCTTTAATTAACGGCAGTACGTTTCGATAAGAGCGAACGGTAGCTTTTAAAGTGATCCCAATAAGAAAGGAAAGTGGTGTTGTTCAATTTTCATCGCATACTTACACTCGAATCAATTGCAGAAAAACAGTATGTTTGGGGTTTCAAGGTTTGTTTTTTTTTTCGCGGCTTAACAATTTATTGACCCAGCTCCTTTTTTCGTGTTTTTCCTATTAGGAGACACCAAATCAACGTACAACTTCGATAATTGCTTTGCTGCTAAGTTACAGTGAGTGTCGGAAGTGTGAGGCTGGGTGATAGAAGGAATACTTTCATCATCAACCTTCTCATAGATTCACATGCAAGCAATTCACTATACAATTGCGAGAGCAAGCGATACGACGGTTGCTGTGAATGTATTGTATGTCGCGAGCTTGCCCTCCAGAAATGATCACAGTTTTTGGGCTCTGTTCCAAGTTTTTGAGCATCCTTCTCTAATGATTTGGTATAAGTAGCCAGTAAAAGAAGCCACATGGATATCAGCTTGTGATTTATCCGGTTTGTTACTACCATTGGGCTGTTAGGCCCAACTTCCGCCATCTTCGAGCGGGCTTTTCTGTGCGCACTCGCATCCGTTTCTTCAACTGCTCATTGGTGAATTCTAGTAATTTAGAAATGAAAAGCACCCGAAACAATCCAGCAGTGAAAATAGGTCATTTATACGGATTTATCAGGAGTAAAATGATCGGTCTTCGAGATCGACATTGACAGTATGCGAACATGGAGACTCATCAGCAAAGCCTCGCCTTTCCTTTGGCCATTACTTTCAAGAGAACATCACTGAAGCGCGTCTAGTCAAGTTGTCGGATTGCCACATTATCGGACATAGAAATTTTTCATAGCTTTATTGATTTCTTCTTGTTTCGGCGCAGAGGTGTCCGAAATAGAAACTAGTGCTGTAGTTGAAAATTGTAGCAGAAAATTTTACGATCATACTAGCTTCTACAATTCGCACTTTTACTACTTGTTTAATAGATGTAATTAGATCTTATATCTTTAAGGAGCAAGAAGGAAATGTCTACCCTCTGACGGATGAAAGCGAAGTGTCATCCCTACATGACAGTGAAATCTTGACGCTGAAAGCAAGCTATGACAAGGTGACTCTATTGTTGTTTTTTTCAGTGATGATTCTTCTTTTTCGCATTTCTTATTAATGTGGCTTTTCATTATCTAGCTAACTGTTATCTTATTTGACTCCTTGGACGTNGTAGCTATTTATTTGGATTCGTAACTTCATCGTCGACAAGTTGATAATGTGCAGCTGTTAAGAAACACGAGCTGTTTATGACAGATTCAATTCTAACTGCTGCTTTTTAGATTGTCATATCGGATAATTTTTGGTTTACTAAATCGGGTCCCTTTTGATACCTGATTCTGCTCTCACGATGGCAAATGCTCAAACTGAGGATGAGGATAAGGAAAAAATGAGGATATTACGTATTGTTCATTTTTAGTTGGTGAGCAAAGAGCTCACTTCGGAGCAGCGACATGAGCGAGCTCTTATGATCAAACAATGTGAAGCAGAGTTACGATTAGAAGAAGCGAAACTAATGATGCTGAAGAAAGTCAAAGCAAGTCAGATGCTGGCCAATCAAAAGGTTTGTTTTGTGTTCTGCTGTTGGTTGTTGTACCTGCAAATGAACCAAATGAAACATTTTTGGATTTAATTTTCAATGTAGCCTAGGGGTTCACAAAAAATATCTTTGCATATATCCAATCATGTTGCGGTGCGGATGGTAATTTTTGCGTTTTGTGTCAATTTAAATATCTGGCTACATCTCGGCTGTGCTTTGCCCTGTTTGCAGTTGAGTGCCATATCTGTTGTACATCATCGCTTTATGACTGCTTTTTATGATTATAAGAACTGCATTCCGAAATCTTGCCATTCCAACTGGTCACAGTATCTGCAAAAATTGATTGCTGCTGTTAAAAAGCGATAGATATTCATTTCCCAAGTACGGTTACCTTTTATAAGTTATCGGAATCGATTTCCAGCAGCTCCAGAGCTACTGGCTCTATGCGATTCTCTGCGTTTTCAGTTCCGCTTTTTAAAAGCTTAACTGAGTAAGAAGAGGACACTCTTTGTCAAATTCAGTGACGAGGTCTCAAGGTGACCAGAATCTGCAGAAAATTGTTAGTTTCTGGTTAAAAGTACTTGCCGTCTTGCGCGTCTTGGCAAGATTGTCCGAATAGATAGTTTCCAGTTGTGGTTTTCTCTTCGTAAGTTTGCCTTTGGTTCGAGCTCCTCGTTAAGCTCGCGATCATTTCGTTTTGCTTTCCTCTCTTGTTTTGAAGATTTCTTCGTTACCTGAAATGTTCAATTGAAATACCTTTGGTAATGCTTCAGTACTTTTGCTAATGTAGGTATTTGCTTTTTTGTAATCAGTTGTACTGTAAAAAGTGGTCTTAGATTTTTGAAGCAATGAAAATGAAAAACTCGGAATGAAAAACTTTGAAAGGAAGTTGAAGATGATGATCAGTGGTGATTATTAGGTGGTACTGCCAGCGGGAATGATTTAGAGTCAACGTTTATAGTTTCCGATTACGAAGTAATTTTCAAAATAGTCTCTCATGTTTGATAGGTCTGAAACAAAAGAATCAGAATACTCCACTTATTCAAGATACTTCGAATAATTTGAATCTTTTTTTTGGTACAGTGTTATGCTCCAAATGATGTTCTGGATTCATTGTGATCATTTTCAGCTTCATGAGGCCAAGAAGGGAGTAGCTCATATGTCACTCAATAACACCGGTGGTGCATACAAGCCACTTGTGGCACCGCCCTTGAACAAAAGCGGCTCTACTAATGGAAAGAGTAAGTGTTTTCATTTTATTCGTCAGTTTTTATCTCTCAAAGTTTTTTTCTCAAAAAAAAGTGTAGCTACCATTTGCATTTCTGTAAATGTGGCAAGTGCAGCTTACTTGCAATTCTGCAAATCAAGCATTGAAGTGGGATTATATGAATCTTTACATAGAAAAGTTCTGTGGGTGTTAGAGCTACTGATTGTGAAAAGGAAACTATTTGTGATCAAAAGCAAGACTGCAGTGGGTTACCAGCTTTTTAAAAGTAGATGTCAGAGCACATGCGGCTCAAAGAAAACTGTGGTATTGTTACAAGTTCGGTTTGATGTGATCAAATAGTTGATTCGGTGATTTTCCGTGAGTGTTCTCGCGATTACATTAGGTGGATAGGCACAGGTGGCACAAGAGTGCGCTAGTATCGGTGAGAATCCGATTACTCTGGTATATTTTAGACAAAATAGGGGTAGTTTTCTGTCAAAAATAGGCTTACTTGAACCCTCCTTCGATTGAAGTTTTCAAACACCCTTCTCCTTTTCCCTGTAGCTCTGAACGTCCACAGGTGAGCATCTGTGGATCTATTCTGCTTTGTAAAAGTTTGGTATGGTTACAGGGAAAAGAAGGTCTGTACAGATTCGTTTTAGAGTAGTGTTTTTATCCTTTGTTTCAGTATGTGAGAAAATATCAACGTTAGCTCTGATGATAGGCAAACAACTGCTTTTGAGGAGCTCTTTTGTTGATAGTATTCAAAATTTTCCCGCTCAATTTATACCAAGCAAAAAATCAAGAATGAGAGAAATGTATCGGAAAACTGTGGAAGTTTGCCTACATCAATCCAATGAGCTAAGAATAAGAAGAATATTTGGTCCTATGAGTAGAATACGAGCTGAGTAGTTCTTCGTGATCGGGTCGACGATTTCCTAGTTGGTGGGAAATTGGACATGATTCCAAGTTAAAGGATTCATATACCCCTGAGATGTCACTGTCAACGTATAAAAGTCAAACCAGGTTCTCACTATAACTGATTTAATGGTAATCATCGAAAACCATCGTCATTCATCACCGCCCAAAGTTCTCATTGTTTAAATGAATTCCCCTCAATCAGTTGTATTGAGAAGCTGAATTGACTTTTTTGAGTTAACAGTGGCATCTCGGGGGGTATGCGAATCTCACAAATTGGAGCCATGTACAATAAGCTTTTCTTCATATCGTCTCTTACATTCTTTCTGAATGTCGCTTAGGTCAACCGAACCTTCCTCTGTTTGCTACTTGTAGTCACGTAGATGCTTAGCTCGAATGGGAACAATTCATTCTTTTTTCTGTCTTCGAATCGTTTTCAAATCGCGTCTAGCAAAACGCCTGTGTTTGGAGTTATCCCCTTCAAAAAGGTATTCTCATCCCAAGTCCTTTACCTAACCGCCCTTGAAGAATGTTCAAGCTCATTGATTGGCTACCACTGCGATAAAAAAATTGGCCACAACGCAAGCCTTTTGATTACATCTAAAGTACAATTTTTGCTGATTAACGGATTTTTGTTTACCACCTACAGGACGGAGTACTTCATAAGGTGATTATGCAAGATGACGTTCTGATTGCAGCTATAGTAAAGTTTTGATTGGTTGCTAACTGGTGAGATTTCTTTTTTAGGTACGAATTCGGCATCGCGAACGAATCCTGTTTTAGGACTGGCCGGTTTGACGACTCAACAACAACAGGAGGTAGAAAAAAAATTATTCTCGATTGCACGTTGGGCGTCTTTACTGTGACATTGGACATGTGAATTCCCATATTCGGAGTGATTTTTCAGCTTCTCCGCAGTGCACAGGCCAACCCTGCTGCTTTGCAAGCTTTACTCATGCAGGCCGCGAAGAATGGGCAGTCTCCAGCACAAGCACTTGCTGCGCTATTCGCGAATCACGCTTCCACCTCGTCGCACCCCGTTGTTTCTGTAGCTCAACAGTTGAAAGAACAACGCGCAAAAGAGGAGCTACTCCTTAAGGAACAGGCAGCAGCAGCCACGCAGGCGAACACCGCTGCACAACAGGTAAAGATGAAAGGCAGAGTCAGATTTCTAGGAGAACTATTACACGTACACATGGTGATTGTCTAGGCAAAATTACTAGCAGCACAAACTCCCCAGCAACGCGCCGCCACCGCAAGGCAGGCCTTCCGAATGCAAGCCGATAAGCAACTTATGCAGGTTCGTGGTGCTACATATCTGAAATTGGTCCAAAGTCATCAAACTTCAGCAAATCTCCGCTCCGAAAACTCCTCCAACCGATTTGTTTTTCATTCCAAACGGCTCGCAACCAGATTTTTGCTACCTCGTCGGCCTAGATCTCGTCGTTCAACGGGTGCTCAAAGACAAGAATGTATACAGGTGAGGGGGATACTGATATAATCACCTTATTGTTGTATCGTCCAGTTGTCATTAATTTTGGAATGAAAAGAATGAACTATCGTGCCTTTCTTTCACTTCTCCGTGTTATTTTCCACCTTTTTTTTTGGTTGATATTACTGCTTGCTGGTTTTACTTCAGGTTTTAATATCTGAATTAACTGAACTTAATAGCTTAACGAATTTTCAGGTCTGTCACTGAGGGACCGTACGAATGCGAGGAATGCGGCACAGATTTTACGCCTTCGTGGAAGGCTATTGGCACGTCATTCTCGGATATGCACCTCTACTGCGAACAGTGTGTACGTACCGCTCAGAAACGCAAGATTCGAACGGATCACTCTAATGTGTTAAAGAAGGCCTACAATAAGATAAACAGCCAAGAAAAGGTTCATCTTTGCCCATACACTTTTTCTAACTTATTATTTATTTATTTTTATTTATTTATTATACACCCAGGGGTGCGCCATCGGCACTGGGAGAACTACTGTGATATGAAAATTTCAACAGAACCAAGGAACAGAACAAAAAAAAAACAGAAAAGAATAGAAGAAATCTCACTAGAAAAGGAAAGAAATAGGCCACTAGCGGGGACCCTGCTCGATACAACGAAGAATAACTAGATTTATGAAAGCTACGACAACCAGTGTATAGGAGACAA